TTTTTGTCCGAGTAGGCCAGTACTTTATCACAAGACTGGACCTGATGTGTGTCCTATGGCCTGGGGCTTGATTAGTTGTCCTGATTTAGCAGGAAAGTTCTGCAGGTCATAGCTTGAGCATCCTGGTGTCTGTTCTCTAAACTTAAAATTTTAATGAAAAAATCCAACTAATTTTAATTATTTATTGTTAAATTAATTTAAATCTGAAGATTGTTCACCTGCTATGTAGCTGTTTAATTTTGCACATATTTGTTGTACCAGGCCTGTTTATCCGTCCCAGTTATTTTATGTTGAAAAGTCCTTGCTGGATTGTTCATGATTATTTTTTTAAAATAAAATGAGCCATGTATTTAAGTTGTGCTGTGTAAGTGATTGTCTGCTTCCAGTACTTGTCAAGTTTTGATACAACTTGTGTTCGAGTATCTCATGATCTTGGTAAAGTATTTCTCATACTGGGCTCTCTGAGGTAACGATTATTTGCATTTTGTAGATGAGGAGTTCAGGCAGATAAGTAACATGTCTGTGCTCTGAAGGCTCTGCTAGAGCTGGAAGCTTACCCTGATTCCTCTAAATCCTTGGTTGGCAGCCTGACCATTTAGGCTTCAGTTGCTCTAAGATAAAGCACCCAAAACAAATTTTAATCTGTATTTAAGCCCTCTGACTTGTTGTAAGAAACAATATAGCTTTTGGCTTCTTATCTTCCTGCTGTTCTGTGGCATGCAGTGTTGAGGATCTGCAAGGGGATGAATTTTTTTTGAAATCCTTGTGTGAGCTGGAAGCTCATGTATTGTCCATCTCACCTTCATGCACTTCTAAGATGAAGTAGGGGTTGCAGCTATTACTTACATCAATTTGCAACATTGCCTGCTTATTATACATTCAGTTTTTTCTTTAACCTGAATGCTTATAGTGATAAAGATTTTGTGAATAAGGAACTGCCTCAGTTGCACAGGAATGAGTACACTCATCCTGTTAAATGTAGTTCTTGTTGGTGTTTCTGGAACTGATCTCTCTTACCCTCTGGCCCTGCAGCTATTCCTAAAAAATGATGTGCCATTTCTCATGTAATAGCTTGCATAATGTTGACAAGGGGGAAAGTCATACAATTCCACATTAAAGCAAATGTTGCTTATGTGAGTTTATTACATATAATCTTTAATACTATTATGTGAAATTATATAGTTACAAAGTGTATTTTCTTTCACTTGGAACATGAAAGGAATAATTTGCTTCGTTTAAAAAAAGATTAATTTTATTCTCCCCTCCAAGCACACACTTCTAATACGCCTTTTGTACAAACAGTTGTGATGTGTTTGGTTGCTTAAGGCTACATTGCATGTGCTCAGTCAACCTGACTGCTGACCAATTGGAGTGGTACTCCACGAGCAGAGCATGCTCCTGCAACGTGACAAGGATTTGACCTGACAGTTTTACAGTCATGCAACACGTGGAGGCTTAACGCAACAAAAAGGGGCACAAGGGACTGTGTGGTAGTCAGTGTGCTGTTCCTGCTGCCTCTGCAGAGAAAAATGTGTAATGCTTGTGTCAAGGAAAACTGAAAAGCTCTTTCCTCTTTCCATTTTTCTCTTTCCTGCATTGCTTGAGACTGGGTATACGTGGAGCTATCTGTATTTTTACTTTGTTAAAGACATTGACAAACAAATTGTGGTTTTGTGAGGGAGATGTATTAATTTATTTCTATTGGAATCCATTTGGTTTGTCTTTGGTAGGTTATTTTGCCTTTCAAAATGAAGATGCTTGTATTTTGGACTGTTTCATTACTTCCTTATGCTCTGCTATAGATTGGCATGGAAGATTCTCCTTTCATCACCTGTTTAAAACTTTTAGTGTAATATGATAACTTTGTGTATAGTTACTGGTTTCTTCAGGGATCTAGTGGATTTACATGTTGTGAAGTATTTCTGATCTGATCAACACTGAGATCACACAAGTGTTTGACAGCTTGTCATTTCACATGTCTAATCTGCTGCATGGTACAAATGATAGGTGGTTATTTAGTAGGGGTGCTGAGTAGGCTTTCTTTGGTTAAATCTTGAAGATAGCTTTTTTTTTTCCCCCTGTATAAGCTGTTGTCTGTAAATACGTAAGATGAAGAGTCAAAAGTGACTAATATAAGTGGATTGTGAGTGGATAAAATCAAAGTATGGTATATGAAAGTGTTAAGTAACCCAAACAGCTAAGCAGAAAAAAGGTCTTTGAATGATTTTAAGGTAATTAAATGAATTTCTTTATTACCAGAAAAGAAGGGGGGTTTTGTCTTTTTGTAATAAATGACCAGAGATAATTTACTGATCAGACAAGTGAAGCAAGACAGATTCTCACTCAGACAAGTGAAGCAAGACAAACATTCTCGCTGTACCAGACAGGGGAGCATTCTGCCTAGATAAGAGTTAAACTACCATAATATGTGCCTTTGTTCAAACCTTGAACTAATTAATTGTATAAGAAGAATGTTTGTATAAGCCAAATTTATAGCTGATCTTTTCTATCGAAACTGCCTGAAAGTAGTATGGGGGGGGGCCTGCATACTGAAGATGCCGAAATCAACCTCTGTAAGGATAAAAGGGTCACTCAGCTTGCCTGAATTTTGCGAGCCTTGGTGGAGCTGTGTCTCCCGGGCCGCCCAGTGCTGTTTTGCTTTCCTACCTTAATAAACATTTAATTAATCTAAGTGGGACTTAGTGTCTCAATTCGTCTGTAACATTTTTTGCTTATAAGCAAAGATATGGTTGTTTTTATTTTCGTAGTGCTGTAGTGGTTGGAACTCAAGTAGTCTGCTGAATTTCTTATTGCGTGTTTTCTGCTCTGGTCCTGCATTATTTTATTCTAAAAAAAATGTCAGGAATTATTACCTAGAGGCTTTCAGTTATAGCTTGTGGCTTACTTGTCTGTTTGTCATGTCATAACAAAAGCTCAGTTCAATTTGTCTGTTATTATCAGAGTTATCCAAGCAAGTAGGTATTTCTTTAACAGTGGAGGGGGTTTCACCTTTCTGCCAGCATACAGAAAATTAAATTTTGTGGTTTTCATGTGTCTGTATTCCCTTTAAGGCAAAATTTACCAGGCCTGTTGCAGCTCACTGGATGCTGAAGCCTCATCCTGTAATCTCACACTTCACCTGTCTTCCTTTTCCTCTTGCAGTATACTTAGATCAGGCTAGCCTGATCTACCTGTCCGTCAGTATTGCTGGTGTGTTTCAGAATGGTAACATGGGTGGGTAAACCGTGTCTGCTAGAGGTGAGGAGACCAGCAGCAGATTAATTTCTTGCCTGGCAGCAGCTCCTCTGGCTGCTGTGCATTGCTGCTGCATTCAAGGGCACACATGCCTCACCTTGTGGCTCTTGAAGTCCCTTTGCTTGCAAACAGGAGGAGCAAATGGAGTTGGCTGGTGTCAGGTGTCTCTTGCCTGCTTTCACCTTCCAGGTGCTTCCCTTGTTAATAGGGTGGGAAGAAGCAGGTGGAGAATTAAGAGATACAGCTTAGCATCTGAAAGGGGCAGTGAGGAAAAGCAGGAGCACTGTGAGAGGAGGCAATTCACTGGAGGAGAAGGCACGAAAAAATGCCAAATAACTGATAAGGGGAAGGAATGAGATGAATTTAGAAGGAAATGACTGTGGGGAATGTGTGTATGTATCTATAAACAACAGCATTCATGGGGAGCATTAGTGTGTTCAGCAAAAGCATTAAAGCTAGCTGTTTTAAGTGCCAATGAAGTTGTGTCCAAGTTTGGTTTCCATTTTAACAGAAAAAACCCTCTTGTAGAAGGAGCAGCCTCTTGATAGTAGTTTATTATTGCTGTTAAAGCTTTTAAAGTGCAGACTTTTAAATTGCTACTGGGTCAGCCAAAAGATTTGATTTACCTGTGTCAGTGGTACACTGAATGGTGTATTAAAGGGAGGGTATTGGAGATAAAGGAAAAACATCAGAGGACTAGGATTTAAAATAAAATTTTTGAAAATACTTCCTAGTGGAGACTAGGAGTCAAATCCCCTATGAAAAGCTTTGTGCTTTTGTGGTTTTGAGACTTGGGTGATGCATTCCTGGGAGCTGTGCAAGACAGATCAAGAGATCTCTGTGTTCCTCCAAAACAGGTTCCCATGAACTTGGGGTAGCTCATGCTTGTTAGAGCTTGGGCTGTAGCTTGAAAGGATATAGGGGGTCTGTTTCTATAGTTTTATAAACCTAAAAGAGCCTTAGCTGAAGAGCACTTGATTAGTTCCAGGAGCTCTTTTTCATCTTAATTTGACAATGCTTTGACAAGGAGAATTTGAATCTAAGCGCTCCTCAGTGCTTTAGTTTGTGTTGTCACAGTCTGTGTATGTCTTCAGTCTGTTGTGGGCTCTTGTTTTAAGGAGCTTGTAGCATCTCCTGTTCACAGTTGAAATGCTTTTGGAAGAAAAAAGTTGATAGGCAATCTCACTGGCCAGTTCTTGAGAGAAGTTCTGAAAAATGATTCAGTTTTATGAGAGATGGATTTAAAAACAAGACCTCCAAAATAAATGAACTCCTCTTTCATGAACTCCTCTTTCTTGTTGTTATCTTTCAGGCTGTTTACTTTTTATTTGACTGGCCTCTTATTGCTTAATCTGTGGCCTCAAAAACATCAGCTGGGAAGGAGACAACTGAGCCTGCCACCCCAGGGCTGCATGTGGTCTGTTATTGTACATGTGGGGCAGACAGGGGGCTTGTATGTTGGAAATCTGCCCTGTTTGGGTGTAGGGCTAAACCCATCCTTTTCTGCTTATAAACACAGTTTGGGTTCATGTATTTGTTTTACAGGCTGGGTGTTAATAGGCACCATAGTAATTAAATGCCTAGAGCATTTCTTCTTCCTAGCTGGGATACAGAGGGCTGTAGAGAGTAGCAGAGGAGGTGCTGTTCAGCAGTCTTCGTTACATGTTTAGTAAGAGTATGTGATAAACTGTGCATTGTATCTCTCAAATTACTTACAGTAATAATGTTTCTTATTTCTCAAGAGGATGTCATTCCCTGTGGATATGTTGAACAGCTACAGTCATGCCACCTTGGAAAACTCAGCAGAAGAGTACTTGTCTGTCCTTCGGAGTGCAAATCCAAACCATCTGGAATCCTTTTCTCTGCCAGACCACAGAAAAGTAAAAACCAGAAAATACCTTAATCTTAGTTTTCTTGATATAATCGTGGATTTAAAAGATTTTAAATGTCCAGTCTGTAACTATTGAAATACATAATTGTGTTAGCAAAGCCTGTGTATTTTCAATTTGTGTTAAGTTTTGCTTTTTTCATTCTTTAATTGAGTTTAAAACTGGGCATCAGTGACTATTTGCTGCTTCTAGGCAATGCATCTGCATGTATTATGTAATCTTTTTTAAAAAACCAAAACCTTAAAAATTCAACTGAGTTAAACTCTTTCCTAAAAAGAGCTAACTCATGCAGTCACAAATTTATCACAACTATGGAGGTTCATGATTTACTGAAGCTAACTGGATATTTTTTATCTCAGTCCTTCAGTGTTCTTCATGTTGGGTTCAATTCTTGATCAGCAAGTTTCACTGATTTCAGAAGTGATTCTTTTTTTTTTTTATCTGAAATATTCACTACTGTTGTTGGGTGTTCTAGTAGAGGCTGGCTGTGACACTTTGTTTTAAACACTTGTCCCCTGCATGAGCTGGTCAATACTAGCTCTGTCTAGATGAACTTTCTATTAGAACTAGTACCAACAAGAGTGGTGTATAGCTTTACTGAAAAGTCAATCAACTGAGAGGATTCTCTCTGGGAACAAAATGTCAGTGCTGCAGATTCCTTGGCAGAAGCAGTCTTGAGTACTTTCCTGCATTCCAGCAGGTGCTCTGTGCCTAAATATTTATTTGTATTAACATCCTCATTTGTGGCATAGCGTATTGTAATAGTCTTAAATTAGTTAAGCAAGTCTATTTGCCACACCATTAATGTCTGTCTAGTTTTTATGCATTAATTAAATATTGAAAACATGTGAATATTTATCAAAATGCACTTCCACAAAAATTGATTTGACTCTTATGTTGTTCCTGAGGGGAAATCAAGCAGGCAACTTTGGAATTTCTAAAACGTGCGCAATTCAAGGGAAGAAAAACCTTTTGAATCCAGCCTTCCCACCTCAGCACATTAGGGCTCATGTTAACAAACAGTAATTTTGCTGTGCCAGTTTGTTTCTGTGATAGCCTGCCTTGTTCTTCTGTTGGTTTTGACAGCTTGCATATCTGGGACAGTTGAAGTGAACATACTGCTGGCTCTTTCCACAACTTACTTCAGTTCTGCACATAAATGCGAACTGCTGACAGCAGCGAGCTGTAACAGTATAGATTACTGTAGATAAATCTGCCAGAGCTTGGGAGTCAGCTCTTCATAATGTCATCTGTCTTTAGGAAGAAATGTCTAAAGGGCATGTCTGATGCTTGTCCTTTACAGTTACCTGTTAAGCACTTGGTTTTCAACATTGATCTTGCTTACCCTGCTAAACCTTCTCTATATATTTTACTAGTGTTGTTTTAAAACAAGTATATTGAAGTATTGTGCACTCTTGTTTCAGATTCCTATTAGCTTGTCGACTGTGAGCTTCGTTCCTCTTTATGGTCAGGAGCAGACACACAGAGTTCTTGCTTTGTTTGCACCAGGAGACTCTCTCACAGGTTTCATTTTAAGACCTTTAGTCTCTGTGCTGCTGTTCCTTTTTTCTGTGACAAATACATGTAACCAGGCCCTAGCTCATTTCATGCTAGTATAGCTCATAACTTTGTCACTTTTGCATTTGTTGGTCTCTTGTTCCCATACTATTTTTGTTGTGTGTGTGAATCTAGAAGTGATAGAACTTTGCATGCCAATCAGGGTAGAATTGGACCCATTGAATTCAGAAGACGTGTAGCAAAATAACATGGTGCTTGTCTCTTTATGTACAACTCACCTCTTCAAAAGAAATTTATTGGGCATTCATAGAATCTGTTAATTTGCCCGTGAGTTTAAATGCTCTTTATTATCAGTGATTGATCAGCATCCAGTGTAAACTTGTCTTTAGTTTTAGGTCCTAACATAGCTCTGGCTAAGATGACATCTTACTGGATTTTGGTTTTTTTTTCCCTTTCCCCTTCCCTTCCAGTCCTGTTTTCCCTCTTTCCATTTAATGCCATGTATATGGTTGCCAAGTTTGCCACAAATGCCCATAGATCAAACTCTTTCTGATTGCTAATCACATAGGCATCAGCCTTTTTACGTTCTTCTGGTTCCCTAAAACTTGCCATTTCAGTATCAGATCCATTAGCAACCCAAAACTAAAATACAAGTATGAAAGAGACTCCTTTTGGCAGGCCCAGTTTTTAGTGGAAAGAGGTGCTAGAGTACAGTGATGAAGGATAGCGCTTATGTTTGAAAAACAGTTTCTGTATGTCGTATTGCACTAAAAATTCTGTTTAGTTTTATTGTTCTCGGTTTTCAAACAAGTTTTGGACTAGGGAGCATTGCATATGAGGGGGTGCATAGCACCACATTTGTTGCTCTAGGGTAATAAGAGCTGCATTAATACAGTGACAACTATAAGATGCTTAACTTGGTTACTACAGTGCTGTTCCTAATTGTTTAGCAGTTTTAATGAATTTGTTTCTTTTGGAATGGTAAGAATCACTGACTTTTTATTTCCCGTTGTTTCTTTCAAGCTGTAGCCCTGTATCTTGCTGACCAGTGGTGGTCGATTGATGACATTCTGAGAACATCTGTCCCTACTAGACAGGGGCTTCTTCAGGTAAAGCACTCCAGTATTCACCTAGCAATTGTTTTTACCCCTCAAGATAATGGCAAGTAATGGCGAATAGCTAGTGTGTGAGATGTTATGTTTTCATTTAATTCATAAATGAGTTGGCAGTCAAAAGCAAGGTCAGTGGGAATATGGAAATACGTACTAGGGGGAAGGGAACTTGGTTGTGAAGATAGTGTCTAGAGCAAGGGTGACTGTCATACAGTAGCTTCATATATAATCTATTTAAGATGTTAAAAGTGTTTTCTTTACCATTTGGAATATCATATGTCTTGTTGTATGGAAACATCTTAGGGTGGTGCATTGGAGACTACTATGGTAAAAATATAATTGAGAACCTGTTTGATAGAGCTGGTGGCTTACAGTGGCAATACATGAGGCTTGGGAAAGTAAGTTGCCTGGCATCTGCTTTATGGTCCATCATGAACCTTTGTTACCATTACTACACTTGTGTAGCATTGAGTTTTTGTTTCCAAAACTGCAAATCTGTGTTTTTCCAGGAGAGTAATTTATATCTGCTCATGGAATCTGGGCATTCGTCTTTGATATTTGTATTTTGTAATTTATTCTAGAGAATTTGGCATGTAACCTTGTTTTCCATGTGCTTCTTAATGGGAGGATGGTGATTGAATTAGAAACACTGAATGTTTTACAAGTACAGTAGCTGAGACTCTGGTCATTGGGAAGAGAGTGTGGTTCCTCCATTCTCCCTTCACAGTGGGTAGGACAGTGGTGAACTTAAATTTTATATGTAAAAGGAACCCTGCAGGACAGAAAGGATATTGAGTTCCTTGTTTCATGTCAGAGAAACTGTTGTAACTAGTTCTTCCACTGCATCACGTCCTGTAGTCTGCCACTATCATCAGTGATTGAGTGTGCCAAGTCCTGCTGCCCTGTGAGGCTCGTCATTTCTCCTCTGTAGGACTCCAAGTACTTGCTAGCCTGGGAGGTCTGAGGCTGGTGAACTGCTATTGTGTTTGGTGAATGTTTCTCAAATACAAAAATAGTTTTGGGTTAAAATCCAAACATTCCCCTGATTCCCAGCACTTCTCTAAGGTTTTACCCATTGGATGAGAGGCTGACATTGATGTTGTGAAATATCCTCTATGGTAGTGCTTTATATTTAACCTATTGCTATGGCTTCTGAGCTTCTCCTTGCCTTCAGACAAACCCCAGAGCTTCCTCCTGCTTTAGCACTTAACAGCTTCTCTTGACTCCATCTGCAGCTTTAACTGGCAACTTGAGGTCCCTGATGTGTGAGTATTAACTAATCTGACCACCCTTCTGAAATGTTCTTTTGTGTTTCCTTAGGTGAATTCCATTGGAGAGAGGGTTGTTCTCTATGTTCTGAATCGAATTATCTATCGGACACAAGAAATGGAAACAAATGAGATGCCATTTCTCTGTCATGATAGCAAAGCCTATGCTAAGATCATGTGGAAAAAAGGAGAGGCCGTTGGGTTCTATTCTGTTAAACCTACAGGTAAAACACTTGAGTGTTGTGGGATTTGGGGGTGTAGAGAGGGGAAGATAGGGAGCTTATTTGGAGAATATTGTATTAGTAGACTTTACAAGCCTTGCAGGGCTGATGAGTTGGTGTTTTCCTGAAATCATAAGAGATCAGATTGCTGTTAAAATTTCTTGCTTAAATGCTTACGTTCTTTAGCAATCTCAATTTGTGGATTTCTTCATATTCTACAAAATATATTTAAAAATGTAGAAATGAGGTATACCCAAAAGGTTGTTTCTTTTTTCTGTAGACCAATTGTTTATGGTTGGATTGGGCTGTGCTTGGTTTTATTTTGGTTTTTTTTGACCTAGCTTCGGAATGCAGGGATCCTGTTTATCTGAAATAATTGTGGAATCAGATGTCATTATCACTTAAATATTTTATAGCATGACAGCATAGAATCTTTACTCACAGGCATAAGATTCAGCTACACCTGATGATAACAGAAAGAGATTCCTTTCCTTTCCACACGTGCATTCCTTCAGATTACAGTCGAGCTGGCAGGTTTATGTTAATGTCGCAGACTTTATAATTTTTCTTTTTCTAAAACATTATAATTTCCCTTCAGTTACTTTGGATTTTATTGTGCTTTTAATTTTTTGTTGAATAAAATTTAGTGCTTAGGTAGGCTGTTTGATAGCACTTTGCAGAATATCAATATTTGGGTCAAGGAAAAAGTCTGGACTTTTTTGTTTCATTTCTAGAGGTGGTTAACTAAATCAAGATTAATGATGGTGCTGGAGGCTTGCTGGAGACTTCCCCCATCTAACATACATATGTATTTGCAAACTGTTAAAAATAAAATAGTAAACGGTCTGGGTCACTGACCTATTTGGTCTGGTAATCAAGATAAGAAAGCAAAAGGTTAACTTATTCTGATTGTCTTTGTTTTTGTTATCTTTTGGTGTTTTTTAAAATAAATTATGCATTGCATAATTTGTGTCTCAGTATTATTTTTAATGTCAAAAATGCTGTAGTGTGGTGGTCACAGTGGTTTTTGTTGTGGCCTTATAAAGCTGGAAACTAGAGTAGTGATTCTACTTTTAATCTAGAATGGGAACACTTCTTTATAGGGCACTGAAGTTTTTCTGTACTCATGCTCACTTGTTATATTTCTCGTGATACCCTCTCATTTACTTGTCCTGAGTTAGCAAACACTGAAGACTAATCTTTCTAGGCATTATTGGCATTTTGTCCGTGTTTGTGTGCTGTATTCACCAAATTGAGTAGTCTATGTGGAGAAAGCTCTGGAAACAGGTGGTTAGGAAAGCGTGGAGGAGCTTGACTGGTATCCCAAAGGGTACTCCAGTAATGTAACCTCTCTGTCCATGTTTTCCTTGCCTGAAAAATGAAGATATGTTCATTGGTCTCAAAAGTACCAGGTTGCAAAGGTTAACAATGCTGTATAGACAACTGTATGCTTCACTTTGGTCTTGTTAGAGGAAAGGGCAACTCTTTGTCATAGTTCACACTGACTGACAAAATAAGGGCCCGAAAAGGGATTGGATAGTTGATGGGCAGTCTTAATGCAATTATATGGCAGCCCTTTGTCATGACTGAGTCCGTAGCTACTCTTTGAATCCTCTGATACTGAAGTACCTATGTGTTGTGACAGTCTGTTTCATCTTTGTTTAATTATGGATAATGTGGTGTTCATGGAAAAATTCCAGTGTAAAGTGTCCTAGGATTTTTTTGTGGTTTCATTTTAAAAATTTAAATTGTTTCAGTCTTTAAACAAGAGCTGAATATAGTCTTCATATTTGTCTTGAGGAGTGATGTAATCTACATAAAAGTTCAGTTCAGTAATTATATTGTCATCATTTCCCTCCTCTCTTTCAGCTTCATCTTTAGTATAGTTTTCCTCTGGAATAGTATAGTGAGATTTCAGTGAGCCTTTCCTCCCTATCTCTGCTATTCATTTCTGGTACTGCGGACTTTTTTTCTAACATATTAATCTATTTGTATATCTTGGCAACATTGTGAAGCTTGCCCAAAGAGCCCATAAATGGCTGGTAGCAATTATTTATTTGTAATGAATGTTATAAATTATTTTATAATTACAATTATAATTTGTTATAATTTATAAAAATCGTAAGTCTTTGTTTGGATATGCTAAAATCCATGCTGCAGCATGTCAGTGCTGAAGTACTGACGGATATTTTTTCCCCTGCTGTTTCAGGAAGTGTTTGTAACACATTTAGTAGTCAGAATTATAAGCTGCCAGTGTTAGACACAATGTTTGTAAGAAAGAAACATCGTGAGAAAGACTCTGGACTAATAATATTGGAAGACTTTGTGGATTCCTTTTCAGAAGGCGCGCTCGGCCTGCGATACCCGCTGTCGTCCTTCATGTACACAGGCAAGCCCTTTAATTTATTCTTGTGTTCTTTGTGCTTTCTTTATATGTCCAAATGAGTGCTGTCATTCAAGCTCTGTGTTTGTTTCTGCATCCTCAGTTTTTGTATTAAATGTTCTGCTCTTCAGTGAAGGCTAAAAATCCTGATGTGTTTAAGGTAGTGAAGTAGTTCGTGAGCAGATTATTAATCCTCTGTGTGAGATTAGATTAGTGGATCTCTGGCTTTCTGATACTGTGAAATTTACCCCTGTGTTCCCCCCAAACCTCCAGAATGGTGTTTCTTTGTCTTCTTTGTAGCACCCTTTTCTTGCTCATACATGAGCCTCACAAGGTCACTTAATTTCTGCATTCTCAGAACTTCTGGTCAAATGGACAGACTAGGCTATGTTTTATCTTGGGTATAGGAAGGCACAGTTCCAAGGTACAAGAAAAACACTTATGTCTCTCCCATTAGCAACCCATGAGTTATGTTATCTAGGAAATGACACACATTCTGGGAACAACATTGCTTGGGTCTGTGTTCAGCAAGAAGCACACTTCTTTAGCCCTGTTTCTCAAGGCTTATCCTACTCTTAGGCCATCTGCTAGGCTTCCTTTTATGAACACTTTCATCTGGCCACCTTTAGCCACAGGAAATTTTCTGCTTTTCCAAGTAGCACTGTCTGTTGGATCTGGATAGATGTGGTTTGTTAGGTTTCAACCAGCAAACTACCTTGATCAGAATTTAATGACTAACCAATTTCCCTGGCCAGGGAATGGTATGGTAGGGATCTGAGATGATGCATCAGTAGTGAATCAGGTGACAAATAGTAGTTCTCCTGGTAGCTATGACAGAATAATGTCAAAGCATGCCTCCATGTGGATGCTTAGTATGTGTATTGGGAGAAAAGAGGTGGAGGGATGTTGGAGAAGAAAATATTCCAGAAAAGAACAGTGAGTAGATGATGAACCATGCAATGGTGACATGTTTGTATTCCCAAAGAGTGCTTTTCACAAGTGCCTGTAATAACATGGGGTGACAAAAATCACTTGACTATATCCTCTGCCTAAGAGCCCTTCCATCCTGGGTTGGGTCTTGTGACTGGCAGGGACAGTGACCAGTGAAGCTGTAAAACTCTGAAGTGGGTGCTTAGAGAAGATCACATCCATCTTTGTTTGCAGATTAAGATAATAATGGAAAGTCTTTAAACCCGAAGACGGGGTTGAGAAGGATGAGTAGGGTAAAGCAATATTATGTTTATTTCAGACTTGACTGTTTTATTGAACAGTTTTTTCTGTGGTGGTTTATATGTATGATGGAAGATTGCAAATTAATTTTATTTCAGCTGTACCTCAGTTTTTGAAGTGTATCTGAGCATATAGTATATAAAATGTAGTGTTTTTTCTTATGTTTGTTCAGCTTGTAAGCAGTATGTTGAGAAGTACCCTAGGGATCAGAACCTTTTGTGGCAAGTGGAGGGATCAGGATGTTGGTTCCAGAGAAAATCTATTATGTCTGTATTGCAAGAGGAAAAGCCCAAACCTGCAGGTATGTATGCTTTGTTTTGTTGTTTTCTGACACTTTGTAAAAGTTGAACAAACGCTCTTCATGTACAACAGTGACTTCCTGTGAACACTGTTTATGGAAAGTAGCAGAAAGATTTTTATTTGTCCTGAGATCTGTGAGATCCTATTTGGAATGGTTAATCTTTATATGAAGGTACTAAATTTTCCATTTCCCTGATTCTTCTTTTAAAATCTTAACAGGAGAGGCATCAAAGAAAGAAGGTAAGAGTGTCCAAGCAAGGGTTCGTTTTCAGGAGCCTCTAGTAGTATCTGAAGCAAGTGGACAGAAGACCGAGATAAAAACACAGCTAAGTGTAGGTACACAGACTGTTACCTTTTTTTGAAATAAATGCTTCTTTTCCATCTCATTATAATTGAATCAGCTCAACTCCACACTATATGAACAAAAGCATTGGTTTTTATATCTTTATAGTGGATGTTATTCTTCCCACTGATCTAACTCTGACTAAGCTGGGGTTGAAAATACCTTTTTTTGTGGTCTGTGGGGTGTCCCCATGAATGTAGAGGCTCTGTGCCACAGCTGTCAATGTCTGTAATGTGAGCTGTTTGCTAGCAGATTAGAAGAGGGAGGGTATTTCAGCTGGCTCTGAGGTTAAGCTGTCTAGAAAGGCTGTTGAACAGTAGAGTCATAGTAAGAGTTGAGAGAATGAGGAAGAGTGTTTATAGAAGTGCCCATTCATATCACAGTTCAATACAATGGAGCTGTTTAGTTTGCATTCAGAGTTATACATTGTCCATATAGAAAGACAGCAGCTTTCTTTGTGCATATCTGAAATTTCAACCAGATTCCAGCCACTTACGGATATGTGGTCATGAATATATTTGTGTCTTTGAATATTATGAAGCTGTTTATCTCAGTTCTGTTCTGAGGCCACACAGAATGTGCTTGAGAATAACTTGTAGCTCCGAATATGGTGAGTATGGATTTGTGTGTTTCAGGACTGTGTAGTATTGATGTGCCCATACTCTCATAAAAGTCAAGCTTTAATTTAAAAAAATCAATAATGGCTGAATTGATACTCTCAGCTATTAATATCTAAACTTTAGATTTGAAATGTGAGTCAAATGTCACTTTTTTCCAATTGTGAAAATTCGCTGTCAGTTTTGCTTTGGGAATTGCTAAGTAGTGATGTTTTTAGTCTCAAAATGACCATAAGCAACAGCTCTTAGTTGTCTTTCATTTGTAACAGTGTTTTGAACATCAAGTTCTGCTTTCAGATTCCAATAATGATCATATCAAAATTATCTAAAAGGCGTATTTTGATTGTAGAACTATACAGATATACCTGGAGAAAACAGCAGAGGGGTAGTAGTTCTTACAATTTTTGTTGCTGTGAGTTAAGAACCCCAGACCTCTCTCTTGCCTTCTTCCAGAAGAGGAAGACGGTAGCTACCAAAGTGCTCCAAATCCTCACAGCTTGGTAGAATTGCTGGCAGCTTTCTTTTTGGTGCCTGTACTATCTATAAGCAGTTCTGCAATGCTTTGAAAAGTGTTGGACCTCCAAACAAAATAGAATACCCCACTGTTGTGGTTTAAACCCAGCCAGTGGCCAAACACCCCATGGCTGTCCTGGGGAACGGGGGAGAGAATTGGAGGGGTAGAGGTAAGGAGAGTTGAGATAAGAACAATTTAATAATTG